CCCCAAAACCCCAAAACCCCAAAACCCCAAAACCCCAGCCTTCGGATTAAATATTGAATTATACCTAAGAAATATATACAATTTATCCCAGTTATTGGACATTATCGTGCTGGACGATTTTCGGTTCGATCCTGTTAAGACTCATGTATTCCACAATTTGTTCTGGAATTCCACTAAGCACTTTTTCAGTAAGTTCACCGAGTCTATCTTTGGAGCGGTTGAATTTCCAGAATTTAGCGGTTTCTCTGGAGGAGGATCCTTCTGGTGTGATTTCGGTCTTGAGCATTTCTAGTTTCTGGAAGTCTTTATCGCCCAGTCCTATGATAAGAATGCTCATGGGAAGGTTACTAGCTTTCTTAATTCTATATTCAAGTTATTAATTTGATTGTTTCCAGTATCATTTTCACCAGGAGGAATTTCTGATTAAGAGCGGCAGGTAAATTAAAACGTACAATATAAAGCGAAATACTTACTCTGTAATTGTCTTTTCCATATCAGCAACTGGCTCGTTTGTGATGACAAGCATAATGTTGTATTCAGACTTATGCTTTCTTTTCTCCATGTATTCGACCATTGTACTTATACATTGGTCAAATCCTGAAGGGCCAGAGAGTTTAATCCCGTTTTCGATTTCATCTCTGTAAGCTTGTAAAACTTCTTGGATACCATCAACCTCTCAATTTTCTTGTCCGTTCAGGTTGAAGCAATGGGATTGATCTTCCTCAGCTGAGAAGCTAGGCTTAGCCCCAAACCCAAATGCTGGGATCTGGTTATTGGAGTCATAAGATTGAAGAACTTCACCAATTCTGGTAATGATCTTTTCATATGGTGACAATTTTTTAGGTTTAGCAGGATCGATGTGGTGTAAAGAGTTTGGGTCAGAAAGACTTCCATTTGAGGAAGTAAAGTCGATTGCCACACTCAAGGAAATATTCCACCCACCTCTTAAGTAATCGACAATTGTCGGATGGTGAATCAATTTAAAGGAATCAAAAATCAATTTTCCGTAGGGATTTCCTTGTCTTTTAATAATAGGGATTGGGTTACCTTCTTGTTCTAAGAAATCCCTGGGAGTCCCTTTGACTCTTCCGTATATTCTGTGCTTGCTCTTGGATTGAGCTGACCATATCTCGAAGATAATGGGAACATCTAAATTTGAGTAGCATAGATCTTGGATAGGGAGTTCACCAACTTGCCAAGACGGATTCAAAGTGCCATGTACAACTTCTGATGAGTAGACGACTTGAGCTTTCTTGTAATCGTCCTCTTTCTGTTCTAGGTGATCTCATTTTTTAATCACCAAGTAAGGGTGGTTCGTAGAGGCTAAACCTAAATATTTCTTTTTAGACTTCAGGCCCTGGCAGGAAACATCCATTTGGATGGCTAGGTTAGGTTCCACCACCGACTCAGTCATCACAACGAGTTTGGCCCCTCTATGTTCATTATCGAGAATTCCAATATAATTTTGGTCATGTGCACCAACTATTTTGGCGATTGTAGTTTTATGTTGAGCTTGTCAGGCTCTCTTTTGTTGATCTTCGTCAAAAATCCTGAACTGAATCTCCTGATTCTTCTCGAAGCAGTAGTCAACCTCAATAGGGGTTTCAAATTGAGGGTTCAAGGTCTTCTTGATAGTTTCAGTAGTAAGAATTAGAGTCCACCTAGAATGGACATCGTCCTTGTACCAGACCTCACAGTATGGATCTGACTTGGCTCCATAGTACAGATCTCTAAGATTACAGCAGGAGATGAACATCCTGATTCTATGTACAGGCTTTTCTGGTAACTCCTTGTTCGCTACCAAGGGGAATGAAGTTTCCTCTTCGGAACTTGCTGAGCTTGTGCTTGAGCTTGAAACTATGTCCATTTTTTGTTAAATTATACCTCGCTCAACCCAAATTTATAGGCCTGGGGTTTTGGGGTTTTGGGGTTTTGGGGTTTTGGGG